GTGTATTACTTATTGATTCATAAGGCAACCTGCATCAGTTGTGTGTAAGGACACTTTCGACACACCAATGTCACGTTTCTGTTCTGCCTGAAAGGCACAGGCGAATAAATCCTGTACTATTACACATTTGATGCGTCAGTGTACCAAGAATACAGTGTGAAAGGTGCTGTGAGTAACTTGGGACCAATGCAGGGAGTAGTTAGGTGAGATACAGTCAATTCTTGCTTTCACCGTGACCCTGAACAGGTACAAAATGGATGGATGCACATTTAAGCATGTGAAACTAATGTGTTATTTTTTTACACCTCCAGGTCCAAGGGTTGGAGAAGAGAGTGGACTTCTCAGACCTGGGCCCGGTGGGCTCGGCAATGAAGACTCTGCCGTACGGTATGGGTGGAGGCACAGATGGCGGACAACCAGGAGGAGCGGTTAAGCCGCCATACCAAACCCGAATTTTCTCCACCTCCTTCGACCAGACGCCCTTGAAAGCCAAACCCCCCACCTACAGTTTCTTTAACCCGTACGATGCAGCCCGTAACCAGTCGCTGCTTCCAGACCATACAGGCTACCGCTCCAAGCGTAAGCCCTCGCTGAAGACAGCCATGAAGACCAAGAAGATCTTTGGCTGGGGAGATTTCTACTTCAACGTCAAGACGCTCAAGTTCAGTTTGCTGGTGACCGGGAAGATCGTGGACCACATCAACGGGACGTTCACGGTTTACTTCCGCCACAATTCCTCCAGTCTCGGGAACGTGTCGGTCAGCATCGTGCCACCGACCAAAGTGGTGGAGTTTGAGGTCCTCCAGCAGCAACAACAGTTCTTGCACCCCCACACCCAACAGGAGGTACAGATCCATGAGTCCCAGCAAACCACCATCGACCCCAAAGAGGTTAAGACATTCAACTGCCGGGTGGAGTACGAGCAAACCAACAGATCCAAGAAGCCCAAGCCCTGCCTGTATGACCCGTCTCAGACGTGCTTCACGGAGCACACCCAGTCCCACGCCGCCTGGCTGTGTGCCAAGCCCTTCAAAGTCATCTGCATCTTCATCTCCTTCTTTAGCATCGACTACAAGCTGGTTCAGAAGGTGTGTCCGGACTACAACTTCCAAAGTGAGCACCCTTACTTTGGATAAGCCAAACAGAGACAGCGGTGATGAAGACAATGATGGAAACGATAGTCATATTGATTATGCGATATGGAGCAAGGGACAGTTTCTTGCCTCTACACTGCTGTGAATTGTGGATTTGAATCAATTACAGTGGTACGGTGGTACCTTGAGTAAAGGGGCCCAACTTATGCTCGGAGCCGTTGATTGATTTTTATTTATTTTTTTCCATGTATTTGCCAAGCCACTTTCAGACGTTTAGTCAACAAGACAAACAATGAAACAAATACAAATTGAAAACCCTTGCAATGAGTATGGAGAAGATGCTCAGACTGAACTGATATCGTGGTAAATGGCCAAACGGAGCTAGAGTCACACAGCACACAAATACGACAGTGAAGGTGTGAGACTTTCGGCTTAATTATACATTATATTAAACAGTTCATCTCTTTATTTTGTCTTTTATTACGTTTTTTATGGTCATAATTGACAATACAGCCTGAGTTGTCTTGGGGCTGGAACGGATTACGGGCACTTCATGTCTCTTCTATGGGGAAAATTGATTTGACATAAAAGTAGATTAGGTTAAGAGCTTGACCTAAATAAATAAATAAACAAATACATTCTGGAGTCAAGGTACCACTGTATCATTAAAGTAATAGTTGCCAAGGCCGAGTAATTTTCCCACCGACCTCCCTGGAACTTTGGTACCTTCTGTTTTTGCAATTCTTTCTGTAAATATTGATCTCATCCTCAGCACCCTTATTGTTTTTAGATCATTGTTTCTCTGTGTTATTACTTTTTGAAAAACAGTATGCCCTCCTGAGAACAAAGCGAACCTCAGAGGCAGCTTTCACCAATCGTACAGTATCTCACAAAAGTGAGTACACGCCTCACATTTTTGGAAATATTGTATAATATCTTTTCATGGGACAACACTGAATCTATTACACTACAATGTAAAGTAGTCAGCGCACACCTTGTATAACAGTGTGTAAATTTTCTGTCCCCTCAAAATAACTCAAAGCACAGCTATCATTGTCGAAACAGCCTGCAACAAAAGTGAGTACACCTGTATGTGAAAATGTCCAAATTGGGCCCGATGAGCTATTTTCACCCCTGTTGTCTTGTAATTCACTAGCGTTATAAGGTTCCAAATGTGAATGAAGAGCAGTTGTGTTACGTTTGCTGGAATTTCTCACATACGCTCTCAAAGTTAAACCTGGCACCTCATATTTACAAAAATGTGAGGGGTGTACTCACTGTTGTGAGTCACTCTATGGTCACTATAGTGTTTTTTGATAGACTGACTGTTAATTATCCCCTGTGCCCCACATTTCTCTCCTCTGGTTATAAGAGAGTTATATGTATGACAAATGCTATGCTGGGTATGCATACAATATGCTGTATGAAAAAAAAGCACATTAAAATATTTTAAAGTGTCTGCCGTTTGCAGAGTGGATTCTTTTTTCGATGCCCACAAGCACAATTTACAAGCTGTGGCCCATACGCCGATTATCTGGGCAAGGACAGCCTTCTGAATTAAGTTAACGTTTCATTACGATTACGAATATGCGCGCCAAGCTTCGTGTGAAGATATGGCCTTTCAATTTTCTGAAGCACATTGAAGGAAAGTTTGTTTTGCCTGGAATTTGAACAAGAAAGCCCTTAGCATTTGAAAAATGACAACTTTTGACTTCTTTGGAGAGACAAGATGGTTTTATTTGATATACATTTCCATTACGCCCTGTGTGGACTGTAAATGGAGAGAAAATGGCTCTGCTCGACTGAGTAATGCGAAAGCCTATACAGTGCTTGTTTTGTTTGCTGTGTGCAACAAACATCCAGGTGCTTTCCGCTCATTTTATGTCCATGATGCAATTTGATTGTGGAGACAATGGTGTGATTGCAAATGCCTTTTTATCTGTTCACCGCATGATTTCATGCTAAATTAAAAGCAAAAGCAACCAGATTTCATCTCTGATTTAATGAAACCTACTGCAAAAAGCTGCCGTCTGCCACATAGTTTGTCTTTCATAATCACTGACTCATTTTCGTTTATCTTCATGTTCGCGTTGACTATTCAGCTGTTTGCTCTGCACACTCTTTTCATTTCAACAAACTGTGTATGCATCTGTCTCCTTAAACCCTGCCAATGACAACCTCACAGACGAGTTCCAGAGACCATCAAGCAAGTACAGTAAAGTTCCCCTTTGAGCAGTGGTGCCCAAATCCGTACTGGTCCTCAAGTGCCCTCATCCAGCTTGTTTTAGATACCTCCCTCTTCCATCACACTTGATTCAAATGATCAGGACAGTTATGCGACTTCTCAGAGCTTGCTGATCTTCTGATCATTTGAATCAGGAGCAGGGAGACATCTAAAATCGGCTGGCTAGGGGGCTCCCGAAGACCGGACTCGGGCACCCCATACCTTAAGGTCTCGTCTGTCTGCGTTCACATTACAGTTCAGCATTCTATATTTTTGGCAATTTCAAGGTCATATTTCACAATTCAATAACAGTTCCCATGTATTTAATATTTTGGATGCTTTCATCAATATTCCCACATGATGAAGAATTATAAAACACTTGACTTCGCACACCCTATTTCTTAACTGTCTTTCTGAAATTAGCCCATTTGTAGGGGCTGGCCTTCATCCCGACCCATACACACCATTGCATTAGAGGTCAGGCTGGCTTTCTTTACCATGACAGCTCAACGCGGAGCGGAAACATTGAGACTGCAGTGGTAGCTGCTTGCAATAGCAAAGCCCAGAGTGTAACAAACACAATTAACACATTTTAACTGCTGATGGCAGCATTTCATGCAGTATGATGTGTGAATGTGGCGCATGAGCACATCACCAAACACAATAGCCCCCAACAACTTCACCGAACAATCACGTATGTGCCGCTTATCAAAACCTAGCACAAATCTCTGCATCTCAAAAAATTACGTTGCAGCTCTGCTTACCTTTTGGCTTTGAAATGGTAGCAGTCACGTCTAATCTGTGGAACATGTGGGGTTTCTGCTTGGTGTGTGTTCTTATGACAATGTTTCACTCCAACTGTTGCTTGAAAGTGATTTTGGATCTTCCCAACCCATCCATCCCCAACTGATCATATAATTAAACCCACTCTTACGTAACATTGGGTGGAAGTGCAGAACGGCTTGTTCACACACACACTTTTTGAAATAGACAAAGCTTTACTGTGCTTGTTCTTATTTAATTTCACACTTGATTGGTTGACAGGCATTCCCCAGACCCAACTATTTGTAGAAACAATAAAAACTCAACTCTCATTATATGTCCTCTTTAATCTATTATTTTCTGGATGACAAATGCATTTCTTCAGGGACAGAAGGATAAAAGATTGCAAGAGCTGACTGAATAACGTTGAATGCACTCAACCATTTGGAACACAACATAGAAGTATTCAATCGTTTCTCCTCAAGCTATTAATAAGTGGAAATCACAAATATATTTTTCAACCCATGTAAAAATCGTGGATGTATTTGGTGGAACATCGACTTGCAAAGTAATTATTTAGATCATTTTCAGTGAATTTGTGATAAAAGGGCTTACGTGTGGAGCAGAAGTTTGTCGTCAACATAAACTATTCAAATGATAATAAATAATTATGAATCAGCAAATGTATTGGTCGCGCATTGGCGAGTAGACGAAAACTCTGAATTTCTTTTTAAATAAAAAAATGAAACGATACATCATCTAGCGTGCGTGTGTGTAGATATTGTTTCAGGACGAATAAATTAATGTGTAGCATAGTAATTCAAGTTTGAAGTTCCTGTGGCTCGGTTGTGGATTTTTTTTTCTCTGCGGACTACATTTCCCATCATGCCTTTTGCGGGCACATGTTCGCGTCACTAGCTGTTGCTAGCAACTTGATCAGCCCTCTCTCGGGGTGTGTGACAGCAGTGTGGCTGCAGGTTGAATTGCTTCTCCTCCGAACCGGCCTGGTAAACTGGAAACATGCTGTCCTTCGCCGTGAGACAACTGGCCCGGGTGAGTGGTTCAATAAGAAAGTGTTTTCATTCTGTTTTTTTTGCATGAATTTGTATTATTTAGTTGTCACATCGCTCGCTAGCTTAATCACAAGCTGCTCTCCGCCGGTCTTGTAACGAGGTGTTTGTTAAACACCGGCTTCTTTTTTCATGGGTATATTCACATTTCATTAATTTATATGTAGTGTTTTTTTTTCCGCGTACACTTGTGATTAGGGCTCATTGGGAGCGCAAAGCTAGCCAGCGTGTGTGTATTATGTCAGTATGGCTGCAGTAATGATGCAACAGCCACTGCTCAATTTCATCATGAGCTACACTGACTGTTACGAGTGTGCCCGTTTGAATGGAATATCGCATCACAGCCAATAGTTATAGGTTTGATTCGGGTTTTTTTTTTTAAACTATCTCGGTGAGGACAATATTTAACTATGGGCAATTTTATTTTAAACCCACATCAGGTCAACTACCATACAAGGGTTTATCAATGTTTAGTCTTTAGCCTCAATAAAGGTTCCAAAGTGCAGATAGAACGTGAAAAACACCCAAGGGTAGTCAGTAAATATTAACTAAAGGTTTTGATAGTAATATAAGTGATAAGGTTCTGTGTGCCAGAGAAAATGCATCCTGGGGGTGATTGTAGGACGCAAAGCTAAAGATTGGGTACATGCATAACGATTTTTAACATCTTAGCCAATTTTTTAAATGTTAGTGACTCTAAATATGATGAGGAAAATCAGCGACAATTTGCTTTTCGCTCTTCTCTTTTATGGTGTACTTGAGATGACCAATACGGCACACCACACCACACACATAACAATAAGAAGAAAATGTAAGTGTTGCATTTCTGTTAACTACATTGCAATTGTCGTTTTAATTGTGGTGAATGATTTGTGAGACACGTTATAGAAACCCTTAGCATGACCAGTTGCTCCTTTTGTTTATGTCTGGCAACACTTCATAATTTCTAACTGGTGAAGTCCTTGTCTTGGCCTAACTCAGTGATGACCATGCACATCAGGATTTGCCACTTTGAAGATAGAAAATTGTCATTTTCAAGTTATTTTGAGGTTTTGTTTCTTTAATGCGGGGATGTGAAACTCATTTTTGTTACGTGCCACTTTGGAGTTACATCTTCCCTCAGAGGGCCGTTTCGAGAGTGAACCCACAAAAGTGTTTTATTGTCTCAACGCATTATTACTTGTACGCAACAAATTGATGGATTACTAGTTTTGAAATCAGACATGTCAACTATTATTAGAGTAGCAGCTGTTGTGAAAGCGTTATATGAATGAAGATGGATCGTATAGTAGTTTGTTCAATTATTGTTGAAGTGAGTGTAAACAGGGGAACAAAATTATTGCAGAATCTCAACGTTATTTATTACACATGACAATTTGACATTTCGGTGCAGATTTGAGGAAGGATCATGCTAGTTGACACTCATGATTTGCTTTCACGGGCCACATAACATGATGTGGCGGGTCGGATCTGGCCCTCGGGCCTTGAGTTTGACACCTCTGCTTTCATGGAAGGGTACTAACAATTTTGTTCCACTTGTACAGTCAAAGGATGTCCAAAGCCGAACACACATTCAGAAGACTCCTGCTTTCACCAACTCTTTCATTTCACTGTTCAACATAGAACTTTGTTGGCAGGACTTTGGAATACTTGGTTTCTAAATTACAGAATGGCATTCTTAGGAGCCCGAAATTGCAGTTCCTTGGAAATATTTGAATTCGAAGAGATGCTGAATGCCATCAGTGAATTGTCATCCAAGACACTGATTAATGGATACAACATCATATCATCATAATTATCCCCAACTGTTGGTCACACTGTCAGAAATCTGATCTTTTCAGGTTTAACGCTGAATATGAATAACAAGGAGTGATTCTAAAATGTCATGTGCCGATAATTCAGGGACAGTTTTATGTTATAACTTTTCCATTCCTTAGATTCACGTGCTTGTTCCTAGTTGGCTTGCTTGATAATGGGTTAAGCGAGTGTCACAGGGCAACTTTAATTAAAATAATCAAAGTCATGTGGTGTCCTCACGAATAGACCTGTGTCACGGCATTTGAGTCACATTGGCCTCATTCAGAATTCTGAAGGAGAAAATCAGCTTTGTGCATTGATTGTGGATAGCCTTTGAAATTCAGCCTTTGAATTTAATGTAGGATTTATTATTTTTTGAGTGTACATATTTTTTGGTTATCCTTAACAATATAATGATTTCTATCACTGATTTTATTGAACAACTCTGAGTAAATGAAACCTTTGTAAATATTCCAAAGTATCTAGATCACACACCCTATTTATTTCATCATTTTAGCTTTTTCTAATGGAGTATACAATTCAGCTTTTGTATTTAGAAATGATTAATTTAATAACTAATTATTGCCTAAAAATATTGTATTCTTAATTTTTAACTGTATATCGCGATCTATACTGTTACCGTGAAGGGATGCAATTGATAACATGATCTGAATTTTGGGCCGTATCGCCCAGCCCTAAAAAGAATCTTAAAAATCGATCCTGAAACACACGGGGAGCCAATTCTAAAACCGGTGTAATGTGGGCCCGCCTTCTGGTCTTTATCAGGACTCGTGCTACAGAGTTTTGGATGTTGTTCACCTGATAAGCTCTTTTTGGGAAAAGCAGAGGATGACAGTCGTCAATACAAATACCTGTGCTCTAGGTGCTCTCATGCTACAGTTATACAATACACTTGACAGTTTCGACTTAGTTGCAGCTGTGCTCTCAGTCTAATGTGCTCGTTCACATCATAGAACCACAATAAAATAGTTATAGAGGTGAACTGATTCATACAGCCCTACTCGTTTTTCTGCTTTTTTGCTGGATTGGATCCAGATAATGTACCAACTATCGTCATGCAACATTAACACACAGTTTCACTCAGCTAGTTTTAAACGTTTGGCTTCAGGCTGGACCACGTCAAACAGCGCACAGATTTACACGATGCCCCAGTGTAGCGTAGACGCATGCTATGGCAGCGGACAGCTGAGCGACTTGACGGTTGGCTTCACCGGCGTCTTTAAAGTCTTGATTGTCACCCTGACAAACCTCCGACCTGGGTCGAGTGAAGTCGCTTTGGGCTTTGCCTCCCATCACTGCACGCCTCTTCAGGCCCATTCTTTGATTTCCTCAGTCGAGTGTCATCCCGACTGAATCACGGGGCAATTTGTAACGGACAGCCTTCCTATTAGCCGCTGACAGAGCAAAGGAAACTGCCAGACTGACGGATGCTTCTACTTTTGCTACTACCGCACGTATCTTTCCTTCCTTCTATATGATCCCCCCTCGTTTTTTTTTCTTCTTGTCTTTCCTGGCTGATTGTTTGGTATGACCATTGATGGACGGCAGTCATCTATAAAATTGACTCTCCTCAAGAGTCGCCTCAGGAAATGGGCAACAATAACACAGAGGAGGGATGATGGGAATGTTTTTACTTTCCTTTCCCACCACCTTTCTTTGTGACAAGGAAGGTAAAACTGCCTGTAGTCACATTTCGAGCAAGAAGTACAGTTCCAGGATGATAAACCATGCAGCGTGTTTGTGGAATGGTGATAACTGGAACATCAGTGGAGTGATGTTCTGGTGTTATCCGTCGTAAATGAAAAACATGAACACATTTGAATCCCCTTGGTCGTCATTAAAAATGTGTTCAAACGGCTCTTGTTGACCAATGCACTTTTTTCACTGCATGGTACGTCCCCCGCTCAGAAAAAAATACAGAATATCGTCGTTCTCTTTGTTGGTGTGCCCTGTTTTCATTGATAGAATCCGTTTGGCATATTTTTTTTTCCAGTCTCCCATGGTACTGTTGCCAAACCGAGGCAAGAAGAGCGCTGCTGAGCTGTGCAGTAGGAAAGCAACCGTTCGTCCAGCACTGACTGACACGCCAGCGGAATTTGCCCCAAAATTTCTATCAAATTGGGCACTGCATCCATTGCCCCATCCATCCATTTTCTATAGCGCTTATCTTCATTGAGGTTTGGGGTCAACTGGACCCTACCCGAGCTGAGTTTTGGCAAGAGAAGCAATGTACACACCTGGACTGGTCGCAAGACAATCACAGGGCACAAACTAATGTTCACCCTCACGTTCCCACCTATGGACTATTTAGACCGTTCAGTCGACCGAACATGCGTGTCTGGAAGCCAGGGTATCCATTGAGAACCCATAGACAGGAAGGTCAGACGTTCTCACCTCGAACCTCAGAATAGTGAGGCACACTTGCAAACCACTATTTCAAGATAATGGTTGATTTAAAGATTAAGATTAATTGAATATCTCGCCTCTCATTTTGTTTTTTTTTTTCCAAGTTCACCTTGGACCACCAAGCTAATCTGTCGCCTAAAAATAGTCCACGTGTGACACACTTGGTTCTTATGCCTTGGCTCTTGTGCGCTTCGGATCACTTTATGGCCGCGATTATTAATTAATCTCCACTAACCGTCAGGAAGGAGAAATGAGCTGGCAGAGTGTTAGACCGCAGGGAACTGACCCATGTGTTTGTTTAAAAGCAGCCCCGTTCTACTTGGAGGCAAATTTGATGAAACGCTAATAAAAAAAAAGGCCATGCTGGTGCTGCTTGGCGCCGGCTGCTAAGCAGCGTAAGGTGACAGGAGGAGGGAGGGATGGCAAGAATTTTCCTGGCTTTCTGTGCCATTGCTCCGGCCCCCCCTCCACAGAAGCGCAGACAGCAAAGGACAGTTTCCGTCAAGGTTTAATGACCCATGTGATTTCTCAGCAAGAAGCAGCCGGGCCCTCGTCGCCTTCTACTCCCCCTGTGCCGCTTCTTTTTCCTGTAGAACGCTGCAGGGGAGAGGGGGTGAGAGGTTGCTCTCCCCTTCGGCTACTTTCACTGCCACAGGTGACAGAAGGCCAGGGCAGGGAGTCGAGCGCCTCTGCCACTAACGCGCCTGCCGCCTCCCTCGGCGTGTCACCATTGTCCTCTTCGCCACCTGCCGGAGCACAGCTCAGACAGGGTTGGATGTTCAATCAGGAGGTGTTTTCTTTCCCATCTCCCCGGGACCAGGTCTTCGGTAGTGTAGTGGTTCGCATTGCTGACTTGCAAGCAGCTGGCACGGGAGCAGTTTGCCATTCACAAATGACCCGCAATTGTCTGGCCACCTGTCCGGTATATCATGGTCTTACTATCAGATGGATTTGACTTGCTCTGAACATGATAGTCTGGACAGAAAATTGATCTTTGCAGGAAACACAGCAACACTTTGCTTTCCTTCAGCGTGCGAAATCTGAATCACCATGCGCTGCATTGTCTGAGCCTGCTGATGTGCTTTTGTATTCACTTTCAGCCAACTCCCGAGCTTTTTAATTGCTTTTTAATGGCGCTGTTCAAGGGAGGCCGTCCCTCACGCCCTGGCACGCATGGGCAGACGATAACTACACAGTCGCAGTGCCAGGGGTGGTTTCGATACAGCAGTCGTCATTTTTAACCGCTGATTAAGTGACGCAAGGCCACCAATCTGTTGTGAGCCCAATCAACCTTCAGACATTTCATTGTGCTTACACAGTCTCCTTTTCTGTGTCTATTGAGCGGTATCCTGGGATCCGTCTTCCCACTGTACACAGCAAGTGAAACGGTTTAAGACGCCTACCGCGCATTTCTCTCCATCCCCGAATGATCATTTTTATGCAAGAGAGTCCTTTGGCCTGGGGAAAAAAAAATACAAAATCACATTATGTGGTTATTTTGCCGTTTGCTTCAAACCCTCTATCTTTTGGACATGCAGTGAGAAATGTTTTCTTAAAAAATGAAATATTTAGAGGACATATTTTGCTTGTTTGAAATGGCATTTGGTTAGGAAGCGCATGGTCCCGTTTAGCCCCGCCAAGAGTACCCTTGAAAACCTTATTTATGTATTTATTCATTTGTTTGTTTGTGTCTTGTGGAGGGGATAGGGGGGTCCCATTCACCTATTTGCTGTTTTTGCTCTCAGACCAAATCAATAACTGTTACTTCGCCGCCATCTTATGGAATCAACAGACAACTATGAACCATTTTAAGACTACCATTGATGACAAAAGATGCCAAATATGTATTGTAACTGTGAGGATTGATAGGATTGAATGAGTGGTTGTCAATTTGATTGTCGTCATTTGCGGTAGGGCTCGGTCCTTCTCCCCTGCAAAGAGGTTGGGGTTCACTTCATTGTGTCGTATTTTGATATGGCTGTTAGACCCGACAGCGGAGGGGAATAGGGAAGAACATTTTTAAGGTGTTTGATGGGGGTAAACTTGACCCCCGACGTCTTCCACACCAAATTCATCCAGCCCTGCCTAGCTCATAATGGAACACAAAACGATGTGTTCCCACATGTTTCAAAGCATGACATTGGAAAACGCATTCAGACTTGGCGAAGGCAAGTATGGCTCAATACTTAGGTCCATATATAGCGTACACAGACTCAAATGGTTGAACGTCGCAGCAGTGAAACTGGCCAAATTCAGATTAGATAAACCAGAAATGCTGAGTCCATTCTCTCTTTCAGTACACCGAGGCTGTAAAATACGCTGAGTAAAAGAGCTGATGACAGCATAATGAACAACCATGCTGATAATTCATATCATGAAAACGTGTGTGTCTAATTCCTCCAGGCTATATTTTAGAAATCTTCAATTTAAGGCTGAAGAGGGGGCAAGGGGTCGGGGGGGGGGTACTGGACTATTCAAGTGATCATCAACGAATGATCATAACGGAGCTGAATTAGTCTCTTTGTTGAAACCTCTCAGTCCGAACATTTTCCTAGGTTGTCTAAATGTCTCTAAAGCTGTGTGTTTTAAAAAAAAGGCACTGGCACTCACTCACTCACATTGACAGATTACTTTCCTAATGGAATTTAATTATTTATCCCTTCCTCATGGCGGTTTAGCCAGGAAAAGACCGACAGCAGCAGGAGGCAGCAGGGGAAGGACAGGACCGGAAGGTGGGAAGGAGGAGGGAGGGAAGGGGGGGGGTGCTCATTTCCTTGTGGCAAAATCTGGACCACCTCACTTTTTTTTTTTTTTTTTTTTTTTTTTTTTTTTTTTTAAAAAAAAAAAAAAAAAAAAAAAAGATGCGAAGCGTACTTTTTTTGTTTTGCTCCCACAGCCATTGTGTCAGCGTGCCCCGGCTCGCATCTGCATACGTGGGCAACAGTCCCACGCTGCCAGCCATGTGGCGGATGAAGAGCGACCTTGGACAGGCCAAGAAAGTCTGGCTCAGGACGACCCGGAGATGTGGGACCTGCTGTTGAAGGAGAAAGACCGACAATGTCGTGGACTGGAGCTAATTGCGTCAGAGGTAAATAAATACATAAATAAATCAATGTGGATCAAAGTTCACAAGCTCGGTTTTTATTGGTGGTTGGTAAGCACCACCCCTGTTGAAAAATGATGTTTTCTAGGTCAGGTTATACCTTGCCTAATCATTCATTTCTCCTCCTCGTGTTGTGCAAAACACTCGCACCAAAGCAGCTTTGGTTCGTGTGCTGTTTTCATTTGATGGCCGAAAGAGGTGAAATCTTACTTGACAAGGTTTTCCCACCGCCTGCTTTTTCCTCGCCACAGTAGCTGTTCAGCGAAGTGTGTCGGCCGCTTCTCCACACAAAGCCACGCCACTCTGGTGCAAGATAACTCTGATATCTTCATTCTGTCTCCTCCACGCCTCGTGCCGCCAGCCTGAGGAGAGCTCAATGCGGCTCAGGCAGGCTCTCGGGGTGTATTTTTCACAAAAAGCGCAACCGCTCACATGCACATATTTCCTCATTGCATCCTCACACGGAAAATATATATGAAACCGCTGTGGCATTTGAAACCAAATTTTGGCCGACGTATGCGCTTGTATGAGGCAGGATGACAACGAATAAATAAATCTTAGGCTGAATTAAATTCCAGCACAGCAATAAATCCTCCCTTTTGCCAGGATTATTTTTAATGTAATCTTTTTGAGAGAGCTATCTTTATTTATTTATGATCATTTATTTTAGTGATCAATTTGAAGGCTGTGATTTATGATGCTGTTGAATTGTAGATTATACAAGCGCTTACAAATGCTTTTTCCCCCGCTCTTATGAAATCAGATATAGGCATTCTGCCAAAAATGTTCGCTTTTATACATTGAAAACTTGGGTGAATCGGGGTGAATTAATTTCCTTGATCGACCATTGGGAAAATTAACAAACCAATTATTTTTTGAATTAATATGAGATGGTAAACATACTCCGATAAGTGTCACATTATTTTGATTTCAAGAACAAGCTTTTTTCACAATGACGGTTTTAAAAATTAAAAAATTCTCTGCTGCCATTACACGCAAGTATGGCTGTATCAGCGAATCAGTAATGTCGTTAAAAATAGATCTTTTATTTCAACCTGTTCGTAGTATTTATTTTCTGATTTTTGTAGTCCTGCAAGAAAACACTGATAATCTTTTGTGTGATCAAAAAAACAATTGACAGAACCAGTAACTGAATCAGTTACAAAAACTTTGGTGAGCACATCAAGACTCTCGGCAGCCCGGTAGTCGACTGGTTAGCGTGTCGGCCTCACCGTGCAGAGGTGCAAGGTTTGATTCCGGACTTGGGCCTTCCTGTGCGGAGTTTGCATGTTCTCCCCGTGCCTGCGTGGGTTTTCTCTGGGAACTCCGGTTTCCTCCCACATTCCAAACACATGTGTGGCAGGTTGATGGAACACTTAAGTTCTCCCTAAGTGTGAGTGTGAGCGCGGATGGTTGTTCTTCTATGTGTGAGCCCTGCGACTGGCTGGCAACCAGTTCAGGGTGTCCCCTGCCAACTGCCCGAAGACAACTGGGACAACTGTGACCATTGTGAGGATAAGCGGATTAGAAAATGAATATATGGACATCCGTCTCATGTGATATTGCTTGAGCATTTAGTTGTTGTTTTTTTTTCATCACTAAAAAATACCAAATAAACAACACAACTGGTCAATAAACACTAATCAGGAAAAAAAGGTTTTGTCATGCAAGTTAATACAAACTAAAATTGTATCCGGTAACTGGATTAAAAGATTGAATCATCTATTCTAAAAATATTCAATGATGACAGCCTTATTTGAAATGGCAAACAATCTCCGGTAAGTGATCTAAATTTTAAAGATTGAAGGTCAAACATTCTCACGAACGTGATTTTGTTTTTGTCCATTGTATGGCCAGATGTTTTTTTCAAGACCTTCCAAAAAAATATATACAAACCCCCACCCCACCCCAAATATTCGAAGAGTGCCTCTTTTTGCCCGTCCAATGGAGTTATCGAAAAGGATGACTCACCTCTTTTTGCCTAACAGTGTTTAATTTGCCGTCCTTGTCTCTTCTGTCAACTGGTGCAGTTCATGCGCACACTTTTTGTTTTCTCGCCGCAGAATTTCTGCAGCCGAGCTGCTCTGGAGGCTCAGGGCTCCTGTCTGAACAACAAATACTCCGAAGGCTACCCGGGGAAAAGGTGAGTGTGTCAGCTTGCCGCACACTGTCTCGTTAGGGGTGTTAATCGACATGCAAACAGAGGGATGCAAATGTGCTCACAGATCCCAAATAAAACGGGTGACAGCACTTGCTTCCGGCACAGGTATGTGGCGGAACCCTGTCAAACACCAAGTGGTCTCAGGAACTTCAAACATTTTCCATGTCTTTGGTTTTGCATAACATCTCCTAAAGAGCTACTACCAGATCACATTTGTATCAATAAATGATAAATACTGCATGTAACTTTTGTCCATAAAGAAAAACAACTTTTAGCAAGTTTGGCTTTAAACCATCATCTCATCAACTCAAAAGGAAGTCCGCTACCCTGTTGTCCAGTTTTGGTCACATGATCCTCCACAAAAAGTGGAATGCTCATCATTTCTTCCACCTGTTTTAGGCCAAAGCACGATGCTTCAGTGAAGCGATTTGTTTGTGCCAAATATAACTTTTGGAATGAAGGCCAAGAGGGTCAGCCTTAGGTTCACTGGACCACAACAAAATCTTCCATACACGAGGGAAAATGTTTTTATTTTTGCTTCCCCTCTCGAAACGAAGATTTTTTTTTTTTTTTTTTTAATTGAGTAGTACATTTTAGAGGTCACATTTATGTTTATTTTTAGTTTATTTTTTTTTTAATTCACAGTTAATGATTATTGGCTAAAACAAAGTTTAGCAGTTTGAACATTAAATACCTTATCTTTGCAATGTATTCAATTACATTTATGTTTAACTTGATTTGAAAATCGGGTTATGTTTTTATTTATGTTTAACAAAATATCCCAACTTCATTGCACTTGGTTTTGTGTATTTAAATGTCTAAAACCTCGCATATGGGTGTGGGTGTGTAGACGTTTTATAGCCACTGTATAGTATTGCTCATGTTGACCGGTGTCCGTATCTACAGATACTACGGCGGAGCAGAAGTGGTGGATCAAATTGAGCTCTTGTGCCAAAAGCGAGCCCTGGAGGCCTTTGACTTGGACCCGGCCAAGTGGGGCGTCAATGTCCAGCCGTACTCGGGCTCCCCCGCCAACTTTGCCGTCTACACCGCCGTGCTCAACCCCCATGACCGCATCATGGGTCTGGACCTTCCAGATGGAGGCCAGTCAGTAGCTACTGTTAATCTCCACATTACACAATATGCGCTGTCCTTTAATTTCTCTGTAAAAACTATTGAATTCACTGTTTATGGGTGCGGTATTTTCAGTCATGTTGTGTTTTATTGCTCCCCCCCTACCTCCTTACTCTTTCCAGTCTGACCCATGGCTACATGTCAGATGTGAAGAGGATCTCAGCCACCTCCATCTATTTTGAGTCCATGCCCTACAAACTCAATGTAAGTAGAGCCCCCTTACCCTTTCCGTACCACTTGCTTACAGTAGAGATGCATACAAACAACCATGCGAACATGTAGTTTAGTAATATTTTCCAGGCGTGGGACAGTCTGTCCTCAGGGAACATAGTGTGGGAGACATCTCAATAACCGCCCATTTATGCACTATGCACTCAATTGTAGTTTATGCTTATTCTGACAAAATGCTCAAAAACTCATACATTATTGCAAATGCATGTTTACAGGTGAAAATCTACTGTATCTTTTTAGGGGTCCCTAAATTTTTCTTTTATTATTGTTGTTGTTGTTATTGTTAGGGATGTCCCAATCATATTTTACTTTTATTCAAATCATAGTTACTTCATTTTGCCAAGACCAAGATCCAATACGATTCCTCGGCATCAAGAAGAAAAAAAGAGCCCAAACAAAATTTCTCAATTATTGTAATTAAAAAAAAAAAAAAAAAAAAGCTATTAAAATATCCGAGCATGACATGTTTTGATGGCTTTCAGTCTGTAGAGGTTCAAATCAAGCAAAGAAATAAAATTATTTAATTTTGACTTTTGAAATTAAGAAACTTTTCCAGCAGTTACCAATCATTTGAAAATCAGCTCCGATCAGGGGATCGGATCGGGACAACGCTAATTATTATTATCAGCAATTAGGATAACCAATGGATTGAATCGGTATCTTTGCATCTCGGGTCCATCGATGCGCGCTAGCGATGGTTGCCTGATGGATGGCCCTTAGAGTCACCCTGCCCAGGTCTTTGTGATGCATGGGCAGCCGGGATCCCTCTGCGGGAGAGATAATGGGAAATCGACAGGCCGGCCGGCCGTCACCACTGGCTCTGCCCTCACTACGGTCAGCTTGATAGAGCGAGGGGGTAGCCGTAGATGTGCTTTTTAGATGGGAGTTTATCAGATTATCTAAATAAAGTGTTCCCCGCTCGCTCCTTTCACCTGTCTTGCTTTTTCTAACACCCCTTCCCGTCCGTCTTTTCTGCTGTCTTGCTCTCACCTTGTATTACCTGACTTTTCTCAAGTTTGAGAGCAGTGAAAGCTTAACACATTTCTTCTAATTTGACTTATTTTGATACAAGAGCAGGGAGTGCCTCCAAAACAACCTATGATGTGTTTCACCTCAGTTGAGCAGGCGCCTGAAATGTTTCATCACCTCAATTGCTTTTCCTTGATGCGACGTCTCGAAATCTCTCTTTTTAACTAAATTCCTTCCTCCTTTTAAGGTAGCTGGAGTACTTAAAACATAGCAGCGTCAAATGGAAATAATCTCTCTTTGATGTTGTTTGCAAAGGAGTCTCAGATATTGAAATTGTTTTTTTTTTTTTCTCCCTCCACTCTCTCTTTCTTTGTGGAATATAATCTGGTTCCTTCCCAATTCCTACCCTAAATCTCCCCCCGGCCCCGGTCCTCTCTGCTCCTCTTCAACGCTTCCCTGCCCTTCAGCCTGCGACAGGACTCATCGACTATGACCAGATGGAGCTGACGGCCAAGCTGTTCAGGCCCCGGCTCATCATCGCCGGCACCAGCGCCTACGCCCGCCTCATAGACTACGCTCGCATCAAGAAGGTGCGCGAGCCTCACCCTGCCCTTCACCCTGTCTCACTTAACCTGTTTTTTTTTTTTCTTTTCTTAACAACTCCTATCTCAAAGTTACCCTCAGGTCATATGCAGTGGTTGTATGCGTTTTTTTTTCACTGTTTAAAAGAAAACTTAACACACTTTTTTTCTTGGCTTGCTGAAATCAGGTCATTTGAGAGGAAGGAAGGAAGCTCCTCCCCTCAGCTCAGAATAAGTACTTTGCAACATCTCACTCGACGGTGCCAAGGCAATATTTTGTATAAGAAATGGCTTTGGCCTGAGCATAAAGTCAGAGGTTTTTCAGTGAGTAACGACGGATACAGTGATGATTTTACAGTTTGAGCCCTGCGAGTCCCAGGGACTCGCTGATCAGAAAAGTATGAGTCCCATTATGCATTTAGAGAGTCCCAAATTTCGAATTCTGAAATGGTCTACTTATTCAATTGCATATGATAATAACACAAACAACAACAATATACATTGATAATGGGTTTATTTCTTATAAACAAATACTGCAAACGTTTAAATAATGCAGGCATACAAGATTTGCTGAGAAATAGGTTTTTATTTCATCCCATGGTTCAGTCTTTGAGTTCAGAAATTCTGTCTTTACTCTGCTTCCAATGATGCAAGGCTTTCTCAAAGTCAACTTATCATTGCAAAAAAGTATCCAACTTTAGCTGCTTCCTCTGTGATATCTCCGCAATAAATTTTTGCAACACTTGTTTGCAACACTTGTCTTAACGTTACACAACTTGGCGAATGGCAATCGTCTGATTCCCGCGAGGTGAAGGCCGATCTCGCCAATCTCGTCTCGCGAGAACGGAAATCTCGTCACACGAGATTACTTAACGCGAGATCAAAACGACAATGGCGGCCATGGTCAAACTGCGATCGTTGCTGGAAAAAAAAATACTGTAATTTTTTTTTTTTTGTTTTGACTGAGAAATTTCCTTGCGTCCCAAAAATGCACATTATTTGGAACTGTGCGTCCCGCGGGAAAATTATGCGTCTAGGACGCAGGACGCAGAAGTAACAAGATGGCTGCGGATAGGTTTCCCCAAAAATCTGCGAATAGACTAATATTACAGTGTCTCATTGAATCATTTCATGTACTTGTGAAACTATTCTTATTTGTTTGTATTTCCATGACTTTATTAGAGCTGTGTAATCTTTATGTGTCTTGGTTTTGCAAAAACTAATTTCCCCAAAAAATAAATCCAAATTTTTTGACTGGTAGGAAGGAAGAAAAAGAGCAGAAAAATGTGCCAAAATAGTTATAGCAAAGTAAAACCGCAATACATGAAGTTATGATCACAAATGAAAATCTGCAATGCGTCAATGCACAATAACTGAACCGCGAAGTAGCGAGGGAACTCTGTCTTGCTGGGTTCCTCGCACTTGCCAAGTTCACGTGCATTATTTTCCTCTCTTGTTGACTAATAGAGTGAAGGTAGACACTCCAAGCAAATTCAAACCACATTTCACTCTCGCAAAGTGCACCAGAGAGCCTGTTATCTTTGTCAAACCCACCCGCTGATTCATCTTGGTTGCACAGCTCCACTTTAGCAAATGCCATCAAATGGAGTGTCCCGCCACTACAGCACTGTGTGTCTTTATTAAGATCCATAACAACTCTGCCACTACCCCATATATCCCGCCCCCCCCCCCTGCCTCCCAAGCCCCCCCACTAACGTGTCTCCGTGGAACCGTTCACTGTTTTATGGCACAAACTGGCCGGCTCCTTGACAGATTTCCAATGTCGTTGCCTGGCTAGCCTTTGGAGCGAAACATCACACACACACACACACACACACACACACACACACACACACACACACACACACACACACACACAATGAACACCCCAACCCTACAGCAGGCGCTGATCATCCCCCTCTTTCGCCAGAGAACCCACTAACAAACGTGTTGTGATCCAGTTAAGATTTTCATGATAATGCACATTTTTATTGGAGCGCCAAAAGGATGCGGTACTCTGATACCTCGCCAGCGAGTCATTTGCATGCTCACAAGCTGTTTATTACCGGTGACTCCATAAATATTGGCAAGAGAAGGCGAAGACATGTCCCATGGTGTCGTATTAAACATCATATGTGGATCCTCGGAAGCATGTGGCCATGTTAAACACACCAGCTCTCAATTGAAATCATGTTTGTCCTCATTAGTCACACGTGAGCCGCAACCTATCCCAGCTGAGATTGTCAATTGTAAAAAAATAAAAAAAATAAACATGCCAAACCAATCATAATAATGACGTGCTGTGGCGACATGGAATGGGACAAAGCTGCAAATCATAACAGCAGTAACGCCACCTCCACCAATTAATCGGTTGTTGAAAATTCAGTTAATTATGCATTTATTGATTCATAAAGTCTTGAAGGAACTGAGGCAAAATGGAGTGCCATGGTTGACTGTAGCCATTTGTTGATTCAGTGTCAACTACTTCATCAACAGAAGTCCAACATAAGTTAAGCAAGAAGTTGAGGTGGATCCACAGTATAACAACTCATTTGGGCTGTAAGTGTCAGCTTAAAATTAATGTAGATTGAAAACAGGAGGACAGAACATTCAGTTTCACTTCCCATTGAAAATATATACACTGCATTGGTTCCTTGAGATACAAGCAAGTGAACTTGGAGTGTTTCAAGATACAGCATGAATCGTCATTTGGTCAGTTGTTTTATTTTGACTTGCGAGCAAAAATCGGAGACTCAACACTTATCTCAAGGGCACCACTGTGGGTGTGTTTTTTCCATATCGTCAAATGCACAACCCTAATGAAATGAAATGCATTTTGACAGTGATGGGGTCAAGAGTACTGCTTTTTTAACCTGTTGGCACCAACTACACACAGACGTCAATTATGCATCAAAAATGTTTATGTTTAGAATTATTTTTATTTTATTTTATTTTTTTGTTTTCCTCAGCTGTGTACTGACATCAAGGCCTATATGTTGGCCGATATGGCTCACATCAGCGGCCTGGTCGCAGCCAAAGCCATCCCGTCCCCATTCGAGCACGCTGATCTGGTCTCGTCCACGACACACAAGTCCCTGAGAGGAGCCAGGTAACATGCTCGCATGCTTACTCAAAATGTCCATGTAGCTGACATCCATCACATTGCCACTACTTCTTTGTTTTCTTCCAGAGCGGGTCTCATCTTCTACCGCAAGGGTGTTCGCTCAGTAGACAAGAAGGGCAAGGAAATCATGTACGACCTGGAGGACAAGATCAACTTCTCGGTCTTCCCCTCGCTGCAAGGCGGTCCTCACAACCACGCCATTGCGGGTGTTGCCGTAGCACTCCGACAGGTAAGAACACATTCAATCCTCATCATCATCATCTTGAATTGTCAAGTATGTTAAAACATACAGGGAATTTGTCTCCGGGAGTTGGAGCCGCTCTCGTATTACACCAAACACACCACTCAAACCAAATATATATTTAGGGCATAAACATTAAAATACAGAGAGTCATGAATCAATACAAAGCGTCCCGTAGTGAGGTAATACTCATATAGTAATAGTTTACGCAAACACCCTTAGGCAACTTTTCTCTTAATGCAGTGTTTTCTATATGCATGACTTTGATGCTCAATAATCTGTATGTTGTTTTGATTTCAGGCTCAATCTCCGATGTTTAAGGAGTACATTGCCCAGGTTATCAGGAACTCCAAGGCCATGGCTACTGCGCTGCTTAGTAAAGGCTACACCCTGGTGTCAGGTAACCTGTTTTGGAATTACAGCGTCCTCGTGCCGTCTCGTAAATAGTGAATCTTTGAAATTGACCCCCCCCCCCCAATCAAGGTTTTTAATTGGCTATAAATGCAACAAGACTGTGGCAAAGCACTACTTTTGTCTAAAGGATGATCCTCACTTTAGGTCAGCATAGTTCATTGACCTGTGAATACTCGGAATAGGTTCACTAGAATAAGAAAAATGTGTAAGTACATAAGAAAGAGAGAAAAACAAGAATTTAAATGCAAGGACAATCAATGACTTTTATTAATTCAGTTTCTCATGTGAAAATTGAGTCATGTCATTGTAATGAGCCAGTCAGTCAACAATACTGTAGCTTTGTCCATTTCTTGTCGCGCTTACACAGTTTCCACCAGCATAATTTGATGATGGAAAAATCTAAATGAATACATCTTATTTCCAGTTAAGCCCCCTCTCTCTATGTAACATGGAGAAAATACATTCTTGTATCCAGAGTTCCACAGCGCTAACAAATGAAAGAACAAATCAACTGACTAGCCGCGGTGAAAAAAGTTGAAATTGAAAATTACACCAACTTTTCAAAGACAAGCTGTCTGAATTTTGGGTGGGGTGGGGTGCTTGGAACGGATTAGGGCATTTACTTGGAAAACGCGTCTCTACTTACAAAATGTTCGAGTTAAGAAACTTCTTCCAGAACCAATTAATTTCATAAGTAGAGGTACCGCTGTACTTGTGTACAACGGTTTAAAAGTCAATTCTCTTCTGTTAAGAAGCTCATCACATCAAAACCTGGTTTAAATGTTTCAGGGGGGACCGAAAACCACTTGGTTCTGGTGGATCTGCGTCCCAAGGGCATCGACGGCGCCCGGGCTGAAAGGGTGCTGGAGCTGGTCTCCATCACGGCCAACAAGAACACCTGCCCCGGCGACAAGAGTGCCCTGACCCCTGGAGGCCTCAGGCTTGGTAAGGGACTGTTAACATATTCACCTAGCGCTTCACTGCCTCTTCACATAATCCTGTTTGTTTGTTTTCAAAGTACAAAAATACAGCCACACATACGGAAATGAGCCAGCCACCAATTAAGCCATGAGCACTAAGCAGTGCATGATTAATTAAATATGTTTAGCTTTTTAATCATCTTCCAGGAAGTTTCCCTCATTTACTCTGCCCCATTTTTTTTTTTTTCATAATCTCAAGGCTAGATCATTACCTCCCCATGTTGACGTTTATGCTTAGGTTCATTTGCACTTTAGCGACCATGCAACCATGACAAAGAGCCTCGAATAAAATGGAATACACCATTTTTGTCCCTCAATTGGGAAAATCGAATTTTAGCAAGAAGATAGACAGTCGCCGTACATGAAGAAAAAAAATAGTGTGTGCATAATTACAATGAGCGGCACAATAAATACTAAAAATATATATATATACATATTTGTAAATGTCAGACTATGTGAATAAATTGACAATATACTGTTTTATAGAGAAGTAATTTTGATCATAACAGCAGCAACAGTCAGCAGCATTGTATATAGCGAAAACATATTTGTGTCAATAATTTATATGTAAGAAGTTGAAAATGACATGAACGCCAGCAGTACTACCTATGGAGATGTGAACAGCAGCAAGAATAGTCAGCAGAATTGTATATCGCATACGAATGTAGATATGTATCAAGAACCCATTTCTTGATGGATATCTACATTTTATGCAGATTCACAACTATGCACGAATAAATATATCTGCATTTTCTCTCTATCTATCTATCTATCTATCTATCTATAAATGCCAATTGCGAACATGAAGAAAAATCGGCAAGAATCAGAGTCAGCGGCATAGTATGCTGTGACTAGACACATCCACAGCACCATACATAATCAATGCCTTTTTTCATAAATCCAATCTCCCTCAGCTAAGTTTCAGTCAGCAAAAAGTTACTCGTACCACAAAGTACTTTAGTTTGATGTATTTACTTGGCGTGTGTGGCAGGCGCTCCAGCTCTGACATCCAGGCAATTCAAAGAAGCCGACTTTGTGCGGGTCGTGGAGCTGATGGACGAGGGCTTCCAGATCGCACTGGACGTGAAGAAAAAGACAGGTGAGTGCGGCGCAACGCATTGCGATGGCGGAGCAAGTACAAGGTGTGAATTAGTGATAAATCACATGGCCGCCCTGCGTCGCTACGACTTTTCAATCTTCTCTCCCGTTTCTGCGCAGGAAAACTCCAGGACTTTAAGAACTTCCTACTGGAGGACCCCGAAACAGTGGCGCGTATCGCTGAGCTGCGTCAGCGTGTGGAAGCGTTCGCCAGGCCTTTCCCCATGCCGGGCTTCCATGACCATTAGAGAGATTGGCAGTCTTGCTTTAAAAAAAAAAAAAAAAAAGAGAAAAAAAAAGATTAAAATAAAAGCCTCGTATTGAGGTTTAACAATAGAATTTGCCAGATTTTATAGAAGAGAAGAACCTATTTTCTATTGTACATTCAAAAGATTGTTCACTTTTCCACACAGTTGCCACTGCTCATGGAGATCCACTCTGTAGTCTTAATATGTTGGAAAGCAACTTAAGCAGTGTAACTCATTTCGACCGTTTTTTTTTTTCACCATCATCTATTGAGCCATTGGGTCCTTTCACCTTGACATCGTCGCACATCGAATTATCAAGCTATAGGAAGCTGGGTTGCCGCGTGAAAACAGTCTCTGCTATTTTGCTGCTCTCTGAAAGAAGCAAATGTTCGTCACAGCTGCATAAATGCGAGGATATTTTCAGCGCATTCTACAGTGACGCCTTGCAACCTCATGTTCAACATCCTTCACTAGACATGAATTGTACAAAGCAACGTTGCAAACTATTTTTCATTGCATCAAAAGGAACTGGGGCCAGCATGGTGGTCAGCACATCTGCACCAAGGTTTGAATGTTATCTCCGACTTTCCAATGTGGAGTTTGCAATGTCTCCTGTCGCGTGGGTTTTCTCCAGCCTGGTTTCACATTCCAAAAACATGACGACTCAAAATTGTCCTTGTGTGTGAATGTAAGCTTGATTGGTTGTTTGTCTATTGGCCCTTTTCCACTGTGCTTGTTGTGCTCGTGCTAGTTCCGGGCCAGTCCCCAGGTTAGCACCATTTTTTTTTTCCCTCACCACCTAAATTGGCTCTCCCTCTGGTGCCTGAAACTGTTGCTAAAACTGGCCCCAATTACTTGTTGGGCCAGAATCCGGCACCAACCACAGCGGGGAGGGTGGGGGGTGGATAGCATGACAATCGCAGATGTAGAGGAATAGACTCCCTGGACACACGAAAGTTTTGCACAAACTGTTGAGCGGTGAACTCACAGTTGTGTCCCACCAGAAGAGTGATCGCGGATGTGCCCAGATAGCATGCGGTCTCCGATTCGCAGCCAGCTTCGTGATCATCTACAATGATTAAGAAAGATACAGTATAAGCGTTTGCTGATTGCATGTCCTTGACTGTAAATGCTACATACAAGTATAATCAATGCTATGCTAAGTTGCCTAGGCCCTGGCCCCGAACGAGCACCACTTTTTTTTTTTTTTTTTTGAGGTGAAAAGGGGGTGTATGTGACTGATTGACTCGCAACCGTTCCCAGCCGGGTGGACCCTGCTTCTTTTGCCAAAAGTTCAACTCCAGCTCACTCCCGACCCTAACGAAGACAAGCACTATTGATGGATGGGAAAACAAACTGACAAGACAAAAATACTACTCAATGGCAATTTGTTCATTTTTTTTTCCAGAACTCATACATTCAAAATTTATATATAGCTTTCCTCAAGATATAGTTAGGTCACAGACCGCCATAATCACTGCATCAGTGATCAATTTGGGTCTGTCTATTCTTCCTTTGCACAGCATCTCTTGAAAGAGTACACTTTGCCAAAACACATCAGCCTTTTATTTTCTCTCATGTTGTTTCAACTGACTTAGTTGCCAACAGATAGTTTGATGGAACATTGATGGAGTCTAAATAAAATGTCATTCAATGGGCCGTGTCTGTTCTCATTAAAAAAAAAAAAAACATTAAACATTGGGTTCATCTGCTTTATTTTAAAAAACAAAATATTTGTCAATTAATGTTTATGTAGTGGTTACACGCCAATATTTAAATTTAATCAAGCATGCATTGCTACCGAATGAGAGTACTGTACATTATATATGTTAAAAAAAATCGGAAGGTCAGTTTTTACGTGTTTTAATTTGTTGTAGACAACGAGACTGCTTTTGAAGTGTAAGGAAGGATTCATTGAAATTCAGCTCAGTGGACATTGTGTTGAAAATATAACTTGTAATTAGTTTCATATTTAATAAAATGTATTACAGTATAAAGGATTAAAATATACTAAGAATAGCATTTCTCATATGTGGAGTTAGAATGGATTCAATTTAGTAAAGCTTAGGTTCTGTGTTTTGGTCATTTTTTAAATTTGTAAGTAAAGCTTGGAAATTGGTAAGATGAGAGAGAGAGAGCGGGAGGCGGATATATTGAAAAATAAAACTTGAAAGCCAAAAATGGAAAGAAATCCATTCCCGATATTACAGCATCTGGACGCTTTCATCGGCGTCTAAATACCAAACAGATTTTTTAAATTTCAATGTATTTGTGTGCAAGAAAAAAAGTGAAAATGTGCAAGATATTTGGAAATTATCATTTTGCAAAATTTGTTAATTTACAGCACTTGGTTTTGTCAACTATTTGCCAAGAGTGGCACATCTGCCTTACAGTAGAGAGGTCTGGGGTTCGAATCCGGTCTGCGGCCTTCTTTTCTAGTTTGCATATTCTCCCCATGCCTATGTGGATTTTCTCGGGGTTCTCCGGTTTCCCCCAACATTCTAAAAAACGTGGCGTAGGTTAATTGAACAGTAGACTAATTGTCTCGAGTTTGAATAATTGGGATTGGCTTGCAGCCGGTTCAGGGTGTGTCCCACCGACTTCTCGTGGACAGCTGGAATAGGTTTTATTAAGCAAGCCCGCTCCTCATGAGGAGCGGTTTAGTTAATGGAGTAATGGAGGGATGGAAGTACTGTAACCGCCATTTCTGGCGCTACTTACGTCACGTGGCCTTTTCTACTTCCTGGTTACCAACTACCAATCATTTCTGCAAAGGAAAAAAATACTAGTCCACTTTGGGAAGAGTGACAACTTCCAAGCCCAAAATGCAGTAAGTGCTCGCTGTCGTGCATTCGGATGTGCTTGTGTTGTATGTTTACATGATAAATGTTTGTTCCAAATACTACCGGATGGTAATTATGTAAGCTCGGTCATGGTCGCTGCTTTCTGTTAGCTCAATGTTTGCTTGTTCATAGTGGTGATTCAGCTTGTTTGTCGAGGTTTTATTATTGGCCAAATTTGCCAATTAATCAACCTTTGGCAAGCGCCCTTTCAGGTAAAACAAATGCTACTTCGAAAAAGTGCTGCATTATGTTGGGATGTGACAACTGACTCGTTTGCTTCATTTTTCGTGAGGACGTTTTCGTGTGGTTGCGTCGCCCACGGGTGGTCTACTGGGCACTCTCAGGATAAAATTGCTCTGGCTTGTTAAAAAATATGTCTGCGTTTATTTTTTTGATAAGACCATCAGTGGAATCTCCGCTGTCACCTCGCTTTCAATTTGATGTTTTTCATGCAATATTTCGATGTTTATCGCACGCACGGCCGGCATAACTCATCGTTGACTGCCTAAAAACGTTTTGAAAACTAACACATTTATATCGACCCATTGCACATACTTTTGAGGTGTTTGGGCACTGAACTTTCTTTATAGCGTACTTTTTAAAAAAAACAATAGCAGCTGTGAAAAAGTTCTGTACATTAGATCAAATGTAAAAGACAAATGTACACGCATTATCTAAATAAATGTATAGACACTACACCATAGTCAAAAATGTCACCATTTTTCTTTCAAACATTTGACTGGTAGTGAAAATTCTAACATAAAACAAAAACAAACACAAACTTCTAAGACCTCAAGAAGACTTCCAGTACAATTCATAAGTGGTAATTTTTTTGGGGGATAGTATTTCCCTTCAGAGATTGTTTTTATAAATTATATTAAATGTGAAGAATATTTAAATTTTAAAAAGCACGGTTTACAATATTACATGAGCAAAATGTATTTTTTTTTTATTTTATTAACTGTCACTTCTTAAAAATAAACACAAATAAATGGAATTGCTGAGACCAGCATGTGTCCCACTTTATAAGCAGTCCATTATAAAACCGGGAAACAAATGACGACACTTTAGTGATAAAGACATATCCATCTCTATGAGGAGGAGCGATTAAAATGGTTGCGACTTGGCGCGTTAAAAGAATGGGTTTGTAACCAAGAAACCAGTGTGAAAAACTACTCTGCGTGTGTAATTGTCAAAACAGTGAACTGTATTGGCCATCTGCTACGCTCCCGCCTAATGTTGCCCATATATCAAGGCCATGTTAATCTGCTCTTATTGAAAGACTACACACACTGCTTCTAAGGACGAGATGATAAAATCCCCTTACGACGGTAGCCTGTGTCACTCTAAATCATGTCTGGTTAATGAGCAGAGGAATAAATGACAGTGTCAGCAATTAATAGGATGTATGTCACGACAATACCTGACATCATTAAAGTTGATGTGAGTGTAAAAGTAAAAAAAAAATATATAGAGCAGTGTGGCTGTAATTGAAACATCTATGCTGTGCTAACGCGTTGTAATTATGTCCTAATGGTGCTCATGTTTCAGCCCTTGCGAGAGTCGTGACGGCATGTCTTGTCTGTACGGGCATTCCCACCACTGCTAATAACAATGGCTGTTTTGTAATGAGCGGCCAGGAGTCTGAATTCTTCGGAATGCACCATTGAGATTCATCCAGAACTGACTAATTGGATATAGTATGCATTTCCTTTATCTGAGGTTTTTTTTAATTTTTTATTTTTTTAAATACCTTCTTCAGCCGAGAGGGGAAACTTTTGAGTTTGCCAATGCAGCATAATTCTTGGCTCAGCTTTTTCGTGAAGTGCAAGCTATTCTCATACTGTGACATAAAAATGCCACGGGGAGATTCAGGAATTTATATCTCGATATATTTTTAGTGGACTGTTTTCCCCCATTGTAGCAAGTTTGTACTATTGTATTGATCAGCTCAGAATGTTTCCTCGCGGCTGTACCGTGTCAAAGGTCCATTGACTTGTCTATCAGTTTGCATATATGGATATCAGATAACAAGGGTACACTTGCACTACTGAATAGATAAGGATAATAATGCTTCGTTTTGTCTGACACCATCATGATTGCAGGGTTAGTCATAGTCTCTCCAGCAAAATTGATGTGTCAGATTTATCATTCATCAGCATTTTACACAGGACCCAGCATCAGCAGGATATTGCCGCTCTCGCGCAGCGTCCTGCCATCAAGCATTCTGATCACTGTTCATTGTGTAATAGTGTCAGCACAACTGTATTTTCAATACTTGTTCATTGGTACAGACTCACAAAAAGAATCCAAAATCGTCAAAAATCTGACGATTTATTTATTTAAATGTTTTTCTCCCTGATTTTTTTTTTTTATCATAGGTGGTTTTTTGAATGTAATTTTCTTTAGAACATTTGACTGTCTTCCAATTTGTCTTTTTTGTGTGTGTGTGTGGGGGGGGGGGGGTTGTTGAACTGCTCACAGACTAACAGATAGAATAAAAAATCGGCAATTGCAAACATAACAAACGATAGAAACGTAATCCATTCGTACACTAGCCGCGATAGCCACTGCGTGTATCCTAACAATCTTTGGAACAACATCTCACTGGAGTGCAAATGCTTATTTTTTTTTTAAAGGCACATCTAAGCGGTAGCCTCCTCCCCACAAACGGTCCCCCTCCCGGCATATCTGGGGTCATCCCCACTTTGAGTAGCCCACTGACAGTTGTGGAATTTGATGCGCTTGCTCGCTCTTGAGAGGGAATGATGAAAGGCGTCTCTATCTCCGCTGCATCAATGGATGTGCCCAGGGCCAAACTAGCCCAGCATCGCCACCGCCTCCTGTTTTTCGCACCATGTCCTATTTACTTATTTATCCGTCCTACTACCGGCGTCTTTTCTCACCCAATGAAATTAATCCTTGTCTAAAAATATCTGGAGGAAGAGTCACTCATTTTCCCGCTGACAAGTAGGAAGACGTGCATGAAGCTGAAGCCCCTTTCACACTGGTCATCACCATCCCTTGTGAGCGGTACTGATGCGCGATGTGGGTGGCTTCAAGTTGACAAACAAATTTTCCAGTTTATGACATAGTGTAAAATGGCTGGCATCAGATTGGGAATTTGAATGCCCAAGACTCACAACATGCCTGGATTTTATTTTATTTTTTTTTAAGTTGACGTTAATGTGATGAAAGTCAAGTTGACATTGATTAGTTGATGACATGTTTGATATTTTTTCAGTACGGTACAATGGTCCCCAAATTTTCTGGCATCCAAGGTGGTATCTCTTTTGGGCTTTTCATTCTGGTTAGTTTTTGATTTTTTTTTTTTTTTCTTTTGACTTGTTTTTTTTTTTTTAATTAAAATTTAGAGCAAATATATTCATTTTTATTTTCTTTTGTAAATGCTTTGTTTTAGTTTTTATTAGGTTTAGTGTTAGTTTTAGGATTTAAAAAAAACATTTGGAGTATTTGTTGAGTGCAAGGTAAAAAAAAAAAGGTATTGCGTAATGAATGAAAACTACAATTCACAAACAACCAATTAACCGCAAAAAACAAAGTATTATTGTTAGTTTAAGTAGATTTCCAAACCTAAGACGTAATTTCAGTTAGTGTCGATCCATCCATCCATTTTCCGATCCGCTTTATCCTCACAAGGGTCGCGGGGGGTGCTGGGTCCGATCCCAGCTGTCTTCGGGCAGTAGGCAGGGGACATCCTGAACTGGTTGCCAGCCAATCGCAAGGCACACACAGACGAACAACCATCGGCGCTCACACTCACACCTAGGGACAAGTTAGAGTGTTCAGTCAG